AACTGGCACCCATACAGGCAGGCTCAGTAGGGAGGTTAAGGATAGAGCAAATGTGGAGACTGAATGATCCTCTCAATCTTAGAGATGATCCCTCTCATAAACATCACCTGGATAGAGTGAGGACGCTTGCACTACTGTTTTATGGAGAGAGGATTTTAATCTCCAGTGCTAGCAATCTTGTAGCTTGTGTGCATGCTACATTCACACAAAAGCTGTACGACTTCAAATCAAAATGTTCTCCTTTATTACTGCAGTAGAAAATTCCACAGTCTTTATTAATCCTAATGAGCCTTTACATTTTTACAGAAACATTTTGAAGATGGTGTGGGGGAAGAAAAAAAATCATGTATTTTGCTTGTCAGGGTTCAGTGTGGGCCCAGTGCATGTGCTATATTTATTTCTTCAGAGAACCTTACATTTGACACCATATTTGGTAATGAGCTACCGCATGGAATAATTCTAGCCATACAAATGACAAAGGGTGGGCGTATTGGGGAAGATGAAGTGCACTGCGAGAGTGCTACAGGTATTGTACCAATTAGACTCCCTACAGAAAAATAGGAATAAATAGGAGGAATGGAAGAGAAAACCCTCTCAGGTGGGTATTTTATAGCTAAGGTCCACAAAAAGTAACACAATTATTGGAAACAGTATTTGCTGTGAAAATATTACATTTAAAGCAGTTTACATGCAGATTGTTCATTCAGTTTTTTGTTCTGTTAGTACATACTGGAGTGCTAGTTTTTGTATTGTGTTGGTTTCAGCTGCTAGGGGCTAGAAGTCTAAAAACAAATATCAGCATTACTTTAGGAATGCAATCTAAGATCAGGCAAAGCTGGTGAGGGTAAGTATCAAGTTACTAGTGTGGGAATGACCATACAAATGAGATGAGGCAATGTTGTTCAGGGTGTGACTATGCTAATGTTTATGGCGAGCATGTTCAGTGTGATGCCAATATTTTCAGCATCTGGAGCAGACTCAGTGCTAATACAATGCTGTGCTGCCTTCTCCTGACAGACCTGACTGCTTACTGAGCATTATACAACTCACCTGATTTCAGATTGCGTCATGTAAGCAAATGTTAGTGCATACAAATGTTAGGTTGAAGTTCACAAATCTCTAGAAAGGGAGTGGGATCTTTCCTTGCCTCCCCATAACTTCCTGCTGCATAACTACACCAGTCCCCTCCCTATCGAGTGCCCTTTTCTGAGCAGGTGGTGGCAGTGGCCTGTGACCTCTTTGAGGCCTCAAGGGACAACTGGCTGACTCCCTCCCATGCACAGAGCCTTCCGGTGGTGACCAGCTGCACCAGTATAATGCAATAGCATTAATACCTAGCCCTTATGGAGCTCAGAAGAGCAGAAGAGTTTTTCTTGATCCTGATATTGCAGACAGGGGAGGGTAGTAGCCTGAAGGCTAGGAGGAGCAAAGCAAAGACTCATGATGAGGAGAATTTGCCAGACTTTGGAGATCCCAGGATGGGAGGGAGGGAGTCAGTTGTCCTCTTTCCTTGACTACTGTGGTGTCCGTAAGCCACTGTTCACTCGCACCAGAAAGCAGCACTAGATTAGATAGGGATCCAGAATCTTTTAGGGATAAGGAAGAATCTTTAAATATACCCTCGCCTGCCCATTCCCACTTGTTAGCTCTCAATGGAGTAAAGTCTCAAAGTTGTTTTAAGTTGTCAAGATAGCTACAAAATCAGCTGTTTTTGCAGCTATATGCCTTCAAATAGATCTAGTTTGTAGAAACAGCAAAGAACGAACATTTGACACCGACAAACACGTAAGCCGTCTTCTAACATTAAACACTGATGATCAGTGGTGCAAGTACGGTGGTATTGTCCGGTACACCGTACTAGTAAGACATTTATAGCTGGTATGGCGTACCAGAAAGACAGAGGAGGAGCCCACCCCCGCCCCGCTCTTTGCCCTTCCACGGAATGCATTTCCTCCATCTGTACAGCAGCCCCGTTGGAGAACAGGGCTGGGGGCAGTACAGCAGCCGCGCCGGAGGAGCTGCCAGTGTTCTGCTCCTTTCCCCACTGGGAACCGCAGCGGGGAAAGAAGCAGAATGCCAGCAGCTCCTCTGGCGTGGCTGCTGTACTGCCCCAGCCCCACCCCCAGCCCTTCCATGCAGCCGCGTCTCCTGAATCCTCCTGCCTGGCGTCTGTACAGCAGAAGTCTCCAGTGCAGCAGGAGGAGGACAGAGCCCCCTCTCGCCCTCTGGTAACGTGAGATGGATGTGGATCATGGGGAGGGGATTGGGAGAGTGTGGGGCCCGGGCCAGGGAGGAGTCACGTTGGGGGTCACGTGCTGGCAAGAAATGATTTCTACTTGCACCACTGCTGATGATCTTCCTAAATGCACAGCTTTTACATAGTCAGGTACTCCAATGATCTGATGGGCTTTGCACCTTTTATTTTCCAGCATTATTTAAATGCTAACATTGCTGCTAAACTTGCTTTTCCTAGGTTTTTGAGTGACAACCCTATTAACAACCAGATAATCAATCTCCTTGCCTTAGTAGCTGTTAGATGACTTTGAAAGCTTTTACAACATAAAGCAAATGGAAAGTAAATGGAGAGAAATGCAATTTGCTCAAAAAAGAATTAGTTATTTGATCTAACCTTTCAAAAACTGGCACTTTTGATAGCACAGGTGTATATGATTAGATTATGAAGCATGTTAACTTGGACACAGACTATTGAGGGGAGGGATGACTAAGCTAAATCTCAGAAGACTGAGCTTTCAGTCTAGATAAGAATATAGGAGTCTATTTCAGTCTATCCCTCTTTCTTGGTTCAAGAAAACAGATTGGAAAACATGCAAGAATGTGGCTTGTGTATGTGTGTGAGAGCATGTGAGCTGGATTACCAGTTTTCCTAGTTTGAGTTGAGTGTGAAATAAAACAAGAGAAGTTCTTCTCAGAATATTTTGATACTTTTGCTCCCTCTCCTGATTGGAAACAGTAAGAGAAGCAAAGTAAAGGCTCCTAGTGCTATCAATCAGTCAATCAGCAAGTAAGCAAGCAAAGTTTTAAAGGGAGAGAAAAGTTCAGTCTCCACATCCATTCGGTCCCTGACCTCGCTATTGAAACTGCCAACTACAGTGACAATTAAAATGTTGGTTTAGGGGAAGAGAATGCTGGTCCTCCGGAATGAGACCTTTAATATATCTCAAAACAAGCCCATTGACCAACCATCAAACAATAATGGCCACCACCTTGAGATGACTTAGAACAGACAGCCTAGAGGTGAAAGTCAGCCTTTGTAACACCAAGACTAGACTATTGCAATGTGATTGATATGGAGCTACACACAGAGATGGTTCAGAAAGTGAAGCTAGTGCAGAATGAAGCTAATAACTTATTGAGTGGAGCATCACATCAAGATCACAGACCACCAGTGCTTCATAGACTGTACTAGCTGGTTGTTAGTTTCCAGGTGGAATCCAAAGCGTCAGTTTTAACCATTAATGCTATATGTGGTTTAGAACCACGCAGCCTGAGAGACTGCTTCTTTCCCTGTGTGGCAATGATACAGCTGGGCTAGGCGAGGAGCTCTGGGATAGTTTCTCTTTGTCCCTCAGTGTCCCCTCGTGACGGGTGCAATATTTGCTGGGACCAGGCATCAGTTTCCGCACAATACTCTTTGGCCTATTCCAGCCATACAGGTGAGCTTGGCTTTCCAGCCAAGCCTACTTTAAAGCACTCTACCCCCTTTGGGGTAACAGAGTCACTTAGTTCAAAGCCAAACAAACAAACATACAAAACAAAACAGTCCAGCGAGGCCCAGCCTTCAGCCCTCACAGGCAGGCTCCTAGCTATAACAGCTTGCCTTCCCACTTAGAGACTGGATCCTTGTCTCTTCTCTAATCAGTCATCCAGGCCAGGCCAGGCCTACCCTCTTTGCAAAGGCTCTAGCAAGCCATAGTCCTCCTATAATCCCTGGTCTGGGCCATAGGTGCTGGAACTAGGGGTGCTCCCACACCCCCTGACTTGAAATGGTTTCCATTATATAAAGGGTTTACGGTTTGGTTCAATGGCTCTCAGTCAGCACCCCCACTATACAAATTGTTCCAGGACCCCTGGTCTGAGCCAAGCTCCTTGCCCCACAGAGGAACTGCCTATCTGCTCTCCTTTTCCAACAGCCCTCAACTTCTGGGCTTTCCTCATCTTAAATCTAACACTCAGAACAGGTACATTAGAGTGGAGTTAACTGACCTCAAGGCTGCTCTTTAACCATTTCCTATCTGGTGTGGGGTTTACCCCCTCACAGGCTCAAGATGTAATCACCTTGATTTAAGTGATGGGTGGCTGCTGGCAGGACTTTTTCCTATATGGGTTCTTCATCTCTGTAATTTGCTCTAGTTCTTGGTCCACCACAGCCCAGCTCTGCTAAGCGTCCAGGCCCCTGCAAAAACTCATATTCTCCCTCCCGGAAGTATGAGGAAGGGGGGTGGTTTGAAGAGTACATGTTGGACAAGGCTTGTTAGGTTTTTGAGGAGGTGGGCAAGCCTGCATAATGTGTGCATTCAACTCGATTATATTGTAGATATTGTTACATTATTTTGATATTGTTTCAAGATCATAAAATGCCTAGAAGAATGAATAAGCCCGTATTTGAAACTGAAAAACAAATAAACATACATAACCCTATATCAAATTCCCTATCCATCCCTCTTGCAGCCAACATCATGGTGTCTGGGCATTTGTGTCCAGAGCCAAAGACACTATGGAGTCTATTTTTTTCTATTTTACAATGTTTAAGTAAATTTATGCTTCCTTTTAAGAATGAGGAAGACTTTCACAGCATTGAATCTCACACTGTTTATCAATGTAATGGAAGCATGTGTCTCTTTCCTGAGTCGTATGATGAGTTAAAGCCTACCACATATGAAAGCTGATTGGCTGGACAAACCACACAGTACAAGATTTTTGACTTAAATTAGGTGTATCATGCTGCAGGCAATACAAACGATATAATGAATGGAACGCACCTTCATTGAAAGGGGAATGGAGCAGATAACTTAGAAGGTCGTTTCCCATCTCTGCTTCATATGATCTCTCTGAAATCACAGGAAATATTTTTATCATCTTTGTTAATGGTCTGGAAGTTGGAGCAAAAAGCACATTAATTCAATTTGCGGATGGCATTAAACTGGAAGTTGTTGCAAATATCAGTGAGGACAGAGAAATTCTGCAAAGTTACCAACAGCAGTTAGAAATATGGGTAGGAAATGACCCAATGAAATTCATGCTGGAAAAATGCAAATTAATGTAGTACACCTGGGTAAAAATAACCCAACACACAGAGGAAGAAATCTGGAAAGCAGTAATCCTAAAGGAGACCAGGGTTGACAGTGGGGAGCAAAAAAGGCCGATGTGATTTTGGCCTGTAAAGGCACTACCTGCACAGAGTGGAGGGTGATAGTTCCTTTGTGTATGACTTCTTTGAGACTGTACCAGGACTATTGCATTCATTATGGAGCATACCACTACCAGAAAGGCATAGACAAACCAGAGGCAGCTCCGAGATTAACAATGTTTTCAGTTCACAGTGTTAACATGAAGGAAACAAGATTAGATTTTTCTGGGCTATCGTTTGCTAAAATTCCATCCTTGTTGTATAGTAGAATTTAACATATTACACAATAACATTATAATTATATGTAACACTGATAGACCCTGGTCATTGGCAGGCGGGATCAAACCTGGGACCTGTGGAGCTTAGTGCATGAGCCCCTACTGCATGAGCTAAAAGCCATATGCCTGTTAAGCCAATTTATTAATCTTTCTCTCTAAGTGGTCTCAGTGCCACTAGATGGGACAGAACACCTCACCAGGAGGTGTGTGGGTTATATATACAAGAATGAATAGGGTAATATTGCGCCTGATTAAATCTTCTAGTTAATAGGAGAGATTGCTGTATAGAAAACGAAAAATTCCAACTGAACGGGCCTGTGACAGTTAGTTCTCATTTAAATACACATTTTACTATTGTAAGTTACTAAGATCGTGATCCTGCCAGGAGCTCTGTATGGGCAGAGCCTTGCACCCACACTGAGACCCATTATAGTATCAGGCCTAATTAATTAATGTCCTGTATTTATTAGTATAATATATCAAATTGTTTTTCCACCTACCTTTAATGACCCCTCCCCCCATCCATCCAATGACATCTACTCTAATGCATCATCATCATTTGTTTGGTACGCCTTGAAAATGTGAGATTGGATCCCGAAGAGCTGTAATTTTGACTAATAATGATAATGATCATTCAGCCAGCTAATTTGCTCCTTCACTCTCATTTCTTTTTGTTTTTCATTTTCCTTCCATTATATAGCTAACCAAGTATTTATATGGACAATAGGATTAGGCAGGAGGCTGCCTCATTAGTACTTGCCACGGTAGCTTTACTTGAAGTCAGTAAGAAAAAGCCAGGATTGCAGGCTTTGTCAGCCACTGTCCAACAATCAATACTTTTACATGGAGGCAATGAAAATTCATCTCTGGTGAATCTCCACGAACTAGAGTTATGCCAGAAATGAATTTGACCCATTTTGCAACTTCTGCAGTTCCTTTATCTTACATCCTTACTAGAAAGGGGATAGCTCAGTGGTTTGAGCACTGGCCTGCTAAACCCAGGGTTGTGAATTCAATCCTTGAGGGGGCCACTTTGGGATCTGGGGCAAAAAATCAGTACTTGGTAGGGGGGCTGGACTCGATGACCTTTCAAGGTCCCTTCCAGCTCTGTGAGATAGGTATATCTCCATATATTATCAGCCTGAGTTAAAGTGGCACCCAAGTGCTAGTACATCTTCTAGCTGGCTCCAATGAACTTGGGTGAGACAGTTTGTGTGTGTTGGCAGAATGCAGGTTAGGGACAACGTTAGAGTTTGAGTTAACTCTGCAGTGAAGAGTTAGTCTCTACTAGCTTCCTGCCTGTACTGCTGAGGTGAGATTCAGGTATCCCCATAAATTACAAATGGTAGAAAGTCTGAGATCAGGGGGAGTATAAAGAAGGGAAATATTTGTATTTCAGGTAAAGGATTTGGAGAATACTGAAGAATCAAAGTCCTAATGATCCAAATTAATTATGAGGCTATCCAAATGGTCTGTCTGACCCTTGATTTGACATCAACATCTTCTTAAAATGTAGTTTAAAAGCTCTGTGCTCCTTTAGTCTTCTAGAGATCACATATGCAACAATGTCATGTTATGGTATCCCTGGAAAGGGGCAGGACACTCAAGTCAATGCAAAAGTCTGTGTAGATTTCAGAAGCAAGAGGTCTTCTGAAAGACCCCCAGTTGCTCCATCCACCCAATAATAATACCTGCCTTCCCTGATACACACGAATGGAATCATGAACCTCAAAGTTTCTCCACATTGTTTTAGAAATAGACAGCTGGATTCTTCTAATCTTTTTCAGTGCAATAAACACAGATCTGATCACACACTCTTTCAATGAGAAAAAGGAATGAAACAAAATCAGGTATTTTATCTGGCATATTGTACCGCTACAGCCTCTGTCTTTAAAAGCTTTGAAAACCCTCTTCATCAGGGTATAGAATACAGTATGTCACAGTTCTTAAGAAAACAATTACTGAACATTTGACACGTGTTTGTAATCCTGATTCACTAGGTTAGCAATGCCTCATTCTGTTGTTTCCCCTGTCTATTCACTCTACAGCTAAATACCCTCATTATATAGGGTGATCCCAGAGCAGATGAGATGTACATCCAGGACCTCTCCACAATCTCATCAAATCTCCAGCTAAGGTTCAAGATCACACCATAGCAATACAATCAAGCAGAAAAGAGAAAGCATTAGTGAAATACAATATCGTGCAGATAAGCTGAAGAGATAAAAACATGCTGAAATGCTCCAGTACTCATCACAAAGTTTTATTTGAAGTCAAGGTTGAGTTTGCTCCTCTGCAATGTTCCTCTTTCTAAAATTTGATTCAGGAAAATAGATGTTTAGTCCTTTTGTATTTTAAAAGTCCTTTACTCACATAATGAATCCTTCTGGGCACAATTCCTAGAACAGTTAAACACAGCTACCATCAGGTTTTATATTAAAGAGAAAGCGGGGAGATAATTTAAATATTACTGTCAAACATGACATTTACCCATATTGTTGATTTTACACTCTCTACAATCTGACAACAGCAAAATTAATATTTGTGGTAGCAATTGACATACTACTTGGATCTCAGGAAGTTAGGTTGTTTGCTGAGAAATTATATGTGCAGTAGTTGTACAAATACAGAAGCAATGGGTTAGACACTCAGGGTATGTAAATCAGTGGAGTTACATTGAAGTCAATGCTGATTTCCACTAGCTAAACATCTGGCTGTATTGCTCCAATTGTCACCTGAGATGCATGTGTGTGGAATTCCCATTTAAGTCTGAGGGGACTTATCTGGTTTGTTTGGCACAATTTTAACAAGTTTAACACAATAATGCATAAGATAAATGATGATTATTTTATTGAGAATGGCTAGCAACCTCCCTTCAGTAAGTGAGGCAATGATAATGCTATCATTAATTGCATGGCTGCAACCACAGGTGCCATAAGCAATCAAGATGCATATGAGTCAGAACCACAAGTGGTGGACCTCTGGGTATGTATAAAACCAGATATAGCCTTATTACATACAACCTGTGAATCACAGGCCATTGGGAGACTATGGTTGCTATAATCAAGAATCCTGAATAAACCAACAGAGCCTATCTATATCCTCTCTGCAAAGAACCTGATTTCACCAATGATCAAAAGTTAAAAAAAAAAAGAAGAACTAAAAAAAAAGGTTAAAAAAAAAAAAAAAAAAAAATCTACTGTGACATCACAAGTGAATGGGATGTGGATGAAGTTTGAGAGATTATCTTATTTTTACTAAGTCTGAGTCTTAATGCCAGAAACATTTCATATTTTATGTTAAAATTATGGGCCAAAATAATTAAATGTTACATATTTTATCAACACTGACATTTATAGGCACCAAAATCCTAATGGTTTAAAATAGTGCAGACATGAAGAACAAGTGAATAAATTAATACAGAGTTGTTAATATTGCACTATTAAAAATATTGACCAACAACTTCAGGCTTTAGTCGAAAGAATTTCTGACATTTTTAACCTGTAAATGAAAAGTGTGTGTACACATGTGTGTGCGCATGCACACATGTGGGAGAAAGAAATCTGTACTGATGACAGGAACATAGCAATTGCCAGAACTGATCAGACCAAAGGTCCATCTTCTCCAGTATATTGTCTCCAACACTTGCCAGCACCAGATGCTGCATGGCAAGATTTTAAAAATGTATTTCATTTTAACTCAGCATTGGTAATTAGAAATGTGACTTCTCCACTGCAATCCAGGACTAATTCATTCAATGTTGAGAAATCAATTGGGAGTTGAAAAAGCAGGAAAGCATGTATTCCTTTTCCATTCTAGGAATAAAAATAATGTGGGAGAAGATGAGATCTACTATTTCTAAACACTTGATGGACATGGGAACAGATTTTCAAAGGTATTTAGGCACCTAAAGATGAAGATAGGTGTCTCGTGACTATAGCAACCAGAAACAATCCAGTAACTACAGTTAATGCTTCCTTTGTTTAATGATTCAATTAGTTTTAAATGCAAAGCATGTTTTGATTAACATCCTTTCCCCCCCCCCACATACCCTGGAATTTAAGGTAGTTTTATGTAACTAATCAATAATTTTAAAAGGCTGCTTTTGTGCATTTTTAATGAATTCCAATTTTCATCCAAAAACTTTATCAAATCATGACTAAATTATCTTCATCTAGTAAACAGGAAATGTGTCATTCACCATTTTCTAACGTCATACTGTAGCAATTAAGGATCTGAATAAATATGCTAAGCTATATAATTGCTTAAATAAACATCTATAGATATAGCATATTCTGGTTAGCAAAAAGAAGTACAAAATTTAGTTTAAAGGCTGTATTTAGTTGCAAGCTGACACATTTTAATGGTTATACCAACCACTGAGAATTAAACTTGCTTTAGGAAAATAGCTAAAGTACAAACC